TTTCGATTATTCTATTTCGATCTTTCATTCTATCGATTTTATAATATCTAAAAATTCTCGTTATATTTATTAGTCGATTATTCAAATTATCCATTAACTGATTAAACAAATGATCTCTCATCCTATTTGCCTAATAATTTTCAATCAACGAATGAAAGAAGATATCGAGGCGTCGATCTATTTCTCTAGTATTTGTTAATCTGTCGAATCTATTTATCTCTCTATCTTATCCGTATATCTACTTCTATCATTCGTTCTACGCGTAGCCATACGCGTATATCAAGATATTTATTTAATTTTAAGCCCCTCGTTAAGTCTATCGCATTGGCGCTTCGAGATTTCCGAGATTGAGGCTTTTGTCTTCCCCCGAAATCTATTAGCTGATCGATTTCTTATCGGTCGCTTGGCGCTGCTGTACGCAGTGGCTTCTTACGTGAAGATCTATTAAGGCCGTTTAAGGCTTAGGATTTAGGGTATTCTCAAAATGAGGAGGATTTTCTTTCGTACGCTTGCGTTTTGCACCCTTGGGCTCCAACTACTAAACGGGAATGGGGGAATGGATCCCTATAGTAGTCCCTTTATAATCCCTAATAATAAATATTCCCTATAGTCCATTCCCCCATTCCCTCCTATGCACCAGGGGGATGAACGAGAACCCTTTAGGCGGGTATTTGGGGCCCAAAGCCCGAGGCTACAAACTTTAAGGGTGCAAACTTACAGTCTTTGCGTCTTCAAGGCGTTGAATCCTCTACCCAAAACCTTGAGGGCACAAACGTCGAACTTAAACTTTCGAGCTTCAGGCCCTAGGCCTTAAGGGCACAAACTCAATTTTGTTGAGTCCTAAATTCTAAAGGGTAAGGCTTAAGGGTACAAACTTAAGGCCTTTGAGTCCTAAACCCTTGACCAGGTATAAATGTGAGGCCGAAATCTTAAGCCTTAAGGTTACAAGCTTGATTTTCCTTGAGTTCTGGAGCCCTAAACCCTAAATCCTTAATGTCTTTCACTTGAAAGCCCTTATGCCTAGACCCTTAATGTCTTGTACTTCAGAGCCCGAAACCCTTAACGTCTTTGCCTAGTTCGAAGAAGCCTGGACTGGCTTCACCTTGACCTGAAACCAAAACGCACGTTAAGGACGCCCTACCCCTGCTAGCGTTTACGGTTTGAATTGGAAGACAAATGGAAAATTAAATGGAGACTGGGATTCCAAGACCCTAAACCCTAAACCCTTGGAGTTTAGGGTTTAGGTTTATGGGTCCGGGGATGAAGGTATCAAGGGACTGGAGTTTAGGGTTTAGGATTTGGGGGTTGGGGTTTAGGGTTTAGGATTTGGGGGTTGGGTCTAGGTGCATGCAACATGCTCCCCAAGATATGTATATGCTCTCACAGAGACCTTATATACACTTGCAATATTGAAGGAGGTTTTCGAAAACAAGGTATTTCCTCAAAGTGGGTGCCCACCCATCATTCCGTGGTAAACCCTAAACCCTAAACCCTAAAAACCCTAAACCCTAAAAGCCCTAAACCCTAAAAGCCCTAAACCCTAAAAACCCTAAACCCTAAACCCAAAATATTCCGAGGTCGAATATGGAGGTGGCTCTGACTATTCTGCAACCCAGAGAGCCCAATACCCCTTAAGTAAGGGTTTAGGGTTTAGGGTCCCTGATATGATCTCAGCTACATTCCTTAATTAATGGGTACTGGGCTCCCTGAGACATAGCATTCGCAAAACATCTCCCATATCTTGGGCATACTGGTGGACCCCATGGACCCCGCAATCGGAACTATAAGGGATAATGGTGATGATCTTGTATCAGGGCCCACCTTTATTCCCATTATGCCACCATTACAGGCTGAGGGATCCACCTGAAGGCGCTACCCGACGTGGCTCTCTTTTTGTTGTTGCTCTGCTCCCCTGGACATGACGAACTGCCAGCCGCAGTCAGGGCACGAAAGTTTGCATAAGCGGAGGTCTTGCAGCAGTGTTGCCGCATCTCCATAAACTAACACATCTAAATTCGGAAGTCTAAATCTACTTCGTTTGGTGCTGATACTTTTGACCATGCCTGAGCAAAGGCCACAAAATTGAAATAGCAGGGCCGGTCTTTGTGAACAAACCCCGGCACAGAAGGTCCACAAAGGAGGCAGGTGCGGCAACCTATGACTCACCAAAACTTATTTGCTTCCTTAGGTCTTGGTAAGTTTGACCCAGCCCTAAACCCTCTACAACGGGCCTGGAATTATCAACCATGGCTAGTCCCAGAAAGACCTTTGTAGTACAAAGCCTCATGTGGCACCGTAAAGACTAAAACCCCTGACACAGAAGATTTTTTGGGGTCTCAGGTGCTCCAAACCCCTAAACCCCTAACCCCCTAAACCCCTAACCCCCTAAGCCCTAAACCCTATATAACCCAATATGGTATATAGCTTAGGTGCCCTAAACTCCAAACCCCTAAACCCAAAACCAAAAATCCCAAACCCCCTAAACCCCTAAGCCCTGAACCCTAGGTGCATCCCGTCTTCCCCTTTGGCCCTCAAAAGGGTGCATGCGGGCCCTGGCCCAGACACACCTACATGCGCTTGGCTCCACCGAGCCATCGAAGTCCACTGTTCGTTCGGTTTCCTTGGATGGGTTTAGCATTGAGGTTATAGAGGCTTACTGGATTGCTGTTAAGGATTTGAATCTAAGTTACCATAGTAAGGAAACCATATTATTTTCTCAATCTATATATACACCCAGTATGGTAACTTAATTCAAGTTCCTTAACGGCAAACCAAACCAGTTTTAGGGCTGTACAGTCTAGGGAGTTCACAGGCTCAGACAAGTTCATGCTTTCATTTGGGGGCTTCCCACAGATCGGGGGCTCTCATTATGCGTACAACTGCCTTAGCATTGACTCGTGAACAAAAGTGTTACATGCTCAAACACAAAAAGATGGCTTACCACAATGGGGGATGCCTTCAGGTCTTGGAAATATATGGGAATTACACAGGGATTGGATTCTCTGATTTCCCGAGCTAACCCGAACTCTAACCTCTAAACCCTAAGCCCCAAGCCCTGAACCCCAAGCCCTAAGCCCTAGACCCTAAACCCCAAGCCCAAAAACACATACAACCCCGATATACTATAATAGTTTCCATTTTCTTTTCCATTATCCCTACCCCATTGACGGAGTTTAGATTATAGTACAACTACCCCCAAGCCCTAAACCCTAAACTCTAAACCCCAAGCCCTAAACCCTAAAACAGTATAGTAGTTTCCATTTCCTTTTCCATTGTTGCTAAACCCAAGTCCCCTA